CCGCACCCCAAAAAAAAAAAAAAAAAAAAAAAAAAAGACCAAGAATCTAACTGCCACTTCTGAGGAGCCGGGAGCAAAAGCAGGGTACTGGGCATGATCCCTGCACACAGCACCACCAAGTGGGTGGGCAGACCCCTCCAAGCCAACCCTCCGGCCTGACCCCTGGACCCGTCCCCACCCTCACCCCATTTAAGAGACCAGCTCGCCCTCCTTGGAGCAAGGGCACCTGTTGCTTGTTTTCACTACTTCATGCTGCAGCACAAACTCCAATAAAGCCTGGCTTAAATTTCTCGTCTGGCCTGCTATCAATTTCTACTGATTAAGGTTCTTGAGAACCCCGGCAGGTAACATCAGAACCTTCCATGGACACAAAGACGCGCCGGCCTAGCGTCTGCCGTCCTCCCTCTCTCCAGCTCGAGCGAGACCCTGACCCGCTCCCGGGGGGCTCTTGGACTCGCGACTCCGTCCCCCGCAAACCCCCGCCCCGGGGGCCCAGCCTGAGCCCGACCCCTCCGCTCCAGCCGCGCGGCCGGGGGTGAGGAGGCTCATTTCTACCTCCGGGCCTCGCACCCGCCGTCCGCGCTCCGGCTGCTGCGTGCCCGGCTCGCCTGGGGGAGCGAGGCTCGTTCTCACCGCGTTCGCCAAACGCGCTGCTCACCTGCATGATGGTCTTGCGGATTTTCCAGAGCCGGTACGTCTCCTCCTCGTCGTCCATGGCTGCCGCCGCTTGCACTCGCTGCACCTGCGCCCGGCAGGACCCGCGCCCACTGCGCCTGCGCCGAGCCCCGGTCAGGCCCCCCCCGCCCTCACGTCGCCCTCCCCTTGCCGGGCTGTCACCGGCGAATGCCTGAATGAAGCGACCTTTGGGAGCGGCAGCGCCAAGGGCAGCCCAAGCCTTACTAAAGCGACGGTTGGCTGCGCGAGAAGCGTGCGACCAGCACCGCCACCCGCGCCTCGGAAGTTCTCGCGAGGCTTTGACCGCAAGGCCCCTCGGGAGTTGTAGTTTCCGCTCAATGCCCGCCTGGGAGGGCCGTTTAGAATCCAGAGAACAGAGGCGAGGTGTGGGCGGGGAAACTGAGGCCTTGACTGGGTCAGGGGTCTGCTCAGCTCCCGGGGACCGTCGGGCGGCCTAAGAGGCGCTCCATGAGTGTTTGTGCATCCAACTGTAGGGGGTTTTCTCAGTTGGCTCAGGGCTACAAACAACTTAATGCCCCCAAGCCTCAGTTTCCCCTCTGTACAATGGAAATAAAGTGTCCCCATTTTAGAGGGTTAGCTGGGGATCTAAGGAGATGGTCGTACTTGGGAGGAGCTTGGAACAGTTCCCGGTGCTTATGAAATGCTTCCACCTCTATCTTCCCGCTCTCCTGTCCCGTGAGCCCCAGCCCAGCCCCTGCCTGGATACCCCACAGCCCCCAAGACTGTGCATGTTTTTACAGTCCGCATCTGCCCCTGCCCCCGAGTTCGTACAGGTTTGCCCACCCCTGCCGAGCCCAGTGCCTCTGCATTGGTAACTTCTCATTCAGTAATGCATTCATTCAATGATTCAATGTTTAATGAGCAACCACAGGGACAGTGAACAAAACAGGCCAAGCACCCTTACATGCCAGGGAGAGACAGGACAGAAACAGTGAACATAATAAGTAAATGATAAAGTATGTTAGAAGGTGACAATGCTGTGGAAGAAGAAATATACCAGGTTGAGGGAGACGGGAGGTTTGCAGTCCCAAATGTGGTCAGGGAAGGGAATTCCCTGGCGGTCCAGTAGTTAGGACTCCGTGCCTTCAGTGCCGAGGGCCCAGGTTTAATCCCTGGTGGGGGAAACTAAGATCCCACAAGCCGCTCGGCCAGAAAAAAACAAGAAAAAAAAATGTGGTCAAGGAAGTTTCCAGCAAAAACCCAAAGGGTGAGAGGGTAGGAGCCGTGGGGATGTCTGGAGGAAAGTGTATCAGGCAGGGGTGCAGTGTGTGCAAAGGCCCTGAGGCTGGACCATGCCTGGTTGTGTTGGCAGCAAGGAGGCTGGTGGTGGGGGAGGGGTGGGAGAAGAGGTCAGAGGTCAGGTGGGGCAGATCCTGGGAGGCCTTGCTGGTTGGGTTGAAAAGTTCAGGTTTGCAGCCATTTTCAGCATCTCCGCGGGGCAGAAGCAGGGAGACCAGAGAGGGGGCTGAGGAAGACCGTCCTGGCCAGAGATAGGTATGGCTCCAAGGGAAGGGTGAGCAGCGGGCAGGTCCAGGGTGTCCGGAGGGCAGTGCCCACAGAATCTGCAGGTGGACGGGACGTGGAGATGAGAGACTCAGAGGCGGGCAGAGGAGGGAGAGCGACTGGGGTGGGAAGGTGTGGGGCGGCTCGGGAGGGGGTCTTGAACTTGGTCAGCTTGGGCCTCCCAGGGGACCCTAAGGGGAGACATCCAGGGGGCAGTGGGATACAGGTCTGGAACTCGGGATGAGCTTGGAGTGGAGACAGACGTGGGTGTTGTGGGTGTACAGTGGAGACAGGAGCTGGGAGCCTGGATGAGATCACTGAGCAGATCGGAGGCTAGGCGCGAGGCTTGCCTACCTTGTTCAGAGGCCGGGAGGAGGGGAGGAAAGAGCAGAAGGTAGAGGGGTGTGGCCACCTGGGCTCCAGTCCTGACTGTGTGACCCGGGCACATTACTTAACCTCTCTGTGCCTCGATGTCCCCCCCAACCTGTAGAACAGGGACAAGAACAGCGCCCACTGCGTAGGTATGTGGCTGATGACTGCAGCGCTGGCAATACTTAAGTGCTTCTTAAATAGAATAGAGGGACTTCCCTGGCAGTGCAGTGGTTAAGAATCCGCCTGCCAACACAGGGACACAGCTTCAAGCAACTAAGCCCGTGCACCCCATCTGCTGAGCCTGAGCTCTAGAGCCCGTGAGCCACAAATACTGAAGCCCGTGTGTCTAGAGCCCATGCTCCGCAGCAAGAGAAGCCACCACGATGAGAAGCCCGCGCACTGCAACAAGAGTAGCCCCCGCTCGCCGCAACTAGAGAAAGCCCAGGCACAGCAACGAAGACCCAACACAACCAAATATAAATAAGTAAATAAACATTAAAAAAAAAAATAGAGGGTGGGTGGAAGCCAGGTGTCCAGGAGCCCAGTGAAGCAGCTGTTGGAAGGAGCAGGGACAGAGCAGCCGTCAAAGCAGGTCTGAGGATTGAGCAGGGGATTGGCCAAGGGGACACTGTTTGTGACCACAGAGGGCAGATCCAAGGATGGGGCCCGGCTGGGGGAGGCATTTATGAGAGGAAAGATATTGGAGATGTAGATGTAGCAGGGGGAACAGGGAGAGGGTCCAGAGTGGGTTTAAGACAGGACAAAGGGTGTCTGCCCAGGTGATGGGCAAATATGGGTGGGGGCGGGGGCAGAACTGCTGGAGGATCCAGAGGGTGGCCTAGACAGTAAGGGGGGAGGGCCCAGGTGTGAGTGACAGGGGACATTAGGTAGCCTTGCTGTTCTTGGGGGCAGGGAAGAGAGAGGAGAAAGGGCTCACAGTAGCAGGCGGGCCCAACCCCAAGGCCCATGACTCAGAATCCTGCCTGTGACCGTGTGGCCTCAGCAACAGCACATGGAGTGGCAACTTTCTCCTTGGAACCTTGCCACCATGCAGCCCAACTGGCAGAGCCCAAGGTTCAGAAATCAGGCCACTGGGCTTCCCTGGTGGCGCAGTGGTTAAGAATCCCGCCAGTGCAGGGGACACGGGTTCGAGCCCTGGTCTGGGAAGATCCCACATGCCACAGAGCAACTAAGCCTGTGCGCCACAACTACTGAGCCTGCGTGCCACAACTACTGAAGCCCGCGCCTAGAGCCCGTGCTCCGCAACAAGAGAAGCCACTGCAATGAGGAGACCACACACCGCAACGAAGAATAGCCCCTGTTCGCCACAACTAGAGAAAACCCGTGCGCACCAACCAGGACCCAACGCAGCCATAAATAAATAAATAAAAGATAACATTTTAAAAAAGTTGTCTGTGTATAACTGAATCACTTTGCTGTACAGCAGAAATTAACACAACGTTGTAAATCAGCTATACTTCAATAAAATGAATGTTTAAACAAAAAAGAAATCAGGCCACGACCCTCACACTCCTGGGTGGGGATGTGAGATGGACCAGTGGCTGTGGGAAAGTCTGGCAGATCCTCAGATAGTTACACAGAGTTACCATGTGACCCAGCAGTTCCACTCTGAGGTGCATACCCAGCAGAAATGAAAACATATGCCCACACAAAAACTTGTACAGCGTTACAAAGCCAAAAGGTGGAACAACCCATCAATGGACAGATGGGTAAACGCAATATGGTCCATTCATATAATAGGATATTACTCCGCATGAAAAGAAGAGAAGCGCTGACTCACACTACAACGTGGATGAACCCTGAAGACGTGATGTGCAGTGAGACACACCAGACGCAAGAGGCCACATGGTACATGACGTGAAACGTCTACAACAGGCAAATCCACAGAGAGTGGATTCATGGTTGTCAGGGGCTGGGGGAGGGGGCTGGGGGAGACTGGTAATGGGGACAGGGGGTTACTTTTTGGGGTGCTGAACGATGTAAGCCAGACACAGAAGCAGAAGTACTGTCTGATTCCACTCACGTGAGGTCCCCAGAGGAGTCAAAGCCATAGAGACGGGAAGTCGACGGTGGGGGCGGGGGCTGGGGGGTGACTACAAATGCGGACGGGGTTTCTTTCTGGGGTGATGAGAATGTTCTAGAATTAGATAGTGGTGATGGTTCCACAATGTTGTGGATATACTAAAAATGACTTACTTGAACACTTCGGTTAAAATGGTGAATTTATGTTATGTGGATTTTAACTCAATTAAAAACATTTTTTCTTCTAAGAAGAAATCAGGCCCTGGTTCCGGAAAGGCCTCTGGCTGGTAAGCAACTCAGCGTCCCCACTGGGGGACACAGGCACTTTGACCACCACAGGGGAGCCTCGGTGGAGCCTTGAGATTTTCCTGGGATTCCACTGCTCCTCTGTAAAGTGGGGAAAGTGTGGAAAAGTGGTGAAACCCAGGCACAAATCTCGGAGCAAGTGGGACCACAGTGGGCAGCTCATCCTGCCCAGTTCTGCTCTTATTTTAACTGGCCTGAAGTCAGGAATGGGGTGAGGCCTTGCTCCATCTCTCCCCGTCGGTGGGCTCCAAGGGGAGGGAAGGTCGCCCTGAGCTGTTTTTCTGGAAACCCTCAAGTGAATAGCCAGTCGTGGCTATCTTCACGACAAAGTTACAGATACCAGCTGAAGGGAAACTGGGAACAGCTGAGGCTTCCCAAGGGCCACTCAGACTCACCAGGGTGGCCTGACACCCAGTGCTGCCAGGGGGCGGAAGTGAGAGGGCGGTTTTCAGAGAAGTGAGGCACCCAGTTGAGATAATGGGAGCTCCCAGCCAAGAAACGACTTCAGAACTCGCCAGCCCCTCGTGACCAGGCTGAGAGGGAGAAGCACGTGAAGGCTATTGGGCAAGGAAGGAATGTAGCAACCTGGTCCCAGGGATCCTGTCCCCTTTGCCACCAAACTCGGCCGTCTAAGCCCTGGGTTGGCCTGGGTTGGGGCAGAGGGAGGGGGCTCGTTTTCTCCCCCAAAGGACCCCAGCCCCGAAAGTCCTGCCCCCAAAGCCTCTGCAGAAACGTTCACCGGGAGGGTCCAAGAAGGAGAGAGGGGCTTCCCTGGTGGCGCAGTGGTTGAGAGTTCGCCTGCCGATGCAGGGGACGCGGGTTCGTACCCCGGTCCGGGAAGATCCCACATGCCGCGGAGCGGCTGGGCCCGCGAGCCGTGGCCGCTGAGCCTGCGCGTCCGGAGCCTGTGCTCCGCAACGGGAAAGGCCACAACAGTGAGAGGCCCGCGTACCGAAAAAAAAAAAACAAAAAAAACAAAAACCTGTGTGTTTCATCTCAGGTACTTACAAGAAGGAGAGAGAAGTTCACGGGCAGCACAACACCCTCCTGGCCGCAGGTCAACGTCCAGCCACGGCTGGGGGTGGGGGCAGCCAGGCCGGTGTGGAATTCTGTGACTCAGGTCCCGAGAATGGGGTGGGTCTGGGCGGTGGCCAGACGCCTGAGCCTCGAGTGGAAATGAGCTTGGAGCCAAGCCAGCGGGAGCCCCATCCCGAACCGCACGCTGTGTCACGTTGCAAATGACAACAGATCCCTCTGGGCTGGCGCTTTCCTTGCTAAGCACACACCTGCGCGTCCTCCAGGAGAAAGGGGGGCGGGACCACAGGGTAAACTGCTAACGGCCCTCCCAAGGGCTCACGTGTCACTTAGATAAGCAGCTAAGCTAAGGCGGCGGTGTCCAAGGGCGGGGACACTCGGCACTGTGCTGCCGGCGCACCCTGCAGCAGGGACGCCGCCGTCCGGGGCTGTCGCCGCAGGTGACCCCCAGGCCCTCGCAGCGACACCGCAGCCCGAGTGGGGGGGGTCTCCAACACCCAGCGTGGTTTTATTTACATTAAAAACAAAAACCACGGGCTTCCCTGGTGGCGCAGTGGTTGAGAGTCCGCCTGCCGATGCAGGGGACACGGGTTCGTGCCCTGGTCCGGGAAGATCCCACATGAG